TTAAATTTATATATTATGCCAAGAAAGCATCAGATGCTTACTCTGTTCAGTATACGCCCACTTGGAGTGGCATCAAAGAAAGACATGGGAGCACGGAAGATGCAATGATGCATTTTATTGAACAGTAGAGTTGCTGTTTTGTATCCAGCTGTATTAAGAAGCATGGCTCTAGCAAAGACACAAAAAGAACTTAAAATGGCCAAAGCAACATATACCATTATTAGTGTAGAGGCCTCAACTAAGGGCTTTACATCCTCTGACACAGGAGTTGCCCAGGCCATCCAGTAATTGCTACCAATCTGAAGAACCTGAAAAAATATCTGTGCCAGCAATATAACGGGCACTAGAGCTCCTCCATATGCTGTTGTAATATAGTTCCAGTAGACTGAAAACCCAACTCGACCTTTCTCTCGTTCTTCTTCTTGAACAAGCTGCTCCTTAGGCCCAACAATGTCAGCAGTTTTACCATTTTGAACGTCATTATTTTCTTCTTTCTGCATGTTCCCGATTGTGCTACTCACACCACCTTCTTCGTTCAAACTTACTCCTGCAGAAAGAGATCCTGTCTCAACTGAGTCAAGTGCTGACAAGGCTTTCTTATGTGCACCTACAAGCTCCATAAAATCAGTTCCAGAACTTAGTATGTCATTGTATTTTCCAGCTTGTGTAATCTTCCCGTCTTTCATGACCTAATACAGCGTGCGGTTAGTATCCCCATTATTTTGGTTCATTACATCAACAGCATGAAAGAAACCAGAAAAGTTTGCTCACCAAGATTAAATCAGCAGCAGGCAAGAACTCAACTTGATGAGTAACAAATATTACTGTTTTTGAACTCAACATGCTCAGCAGAACTTCCTATCATACAAATTAAAGAGATAAACTTTATTAAAGCACTCATACGAAACAAGTAGAAAAGTTTAGACCAAAAAAACTTCAAGATGAACATGATGTGCCATGATGTGCTTTTAATCTGTGGATATTCAATTACATTTCATACAGAAGTGATGGAATATGCTTAAACTAAGAGGTAAGCATGAAGGAAACTGTAAAAAGAAGATTTAAAAGATAAGTTTTTTCCACTGTAAGTGAGGACATTAGAACAAGAAAATGTTACCTTCAATAAGTGAGATCCAGTATGAGCATCCACTGCACTAAAAGGATCATCAAATAGATAGATATCAGCATCTTGGTAGAGTGCACGTGCAATCTGTACTCTTTGCTTCTGTCCTCCACTCAAATTGATTCCTCTCTCACCTATGACTGTCTGATCACCAAATGACAGGATTTCTAGGTCTTTTTTGAGGGAACAAGCTTCAAGCACCATCTCATACCTTTCCCTGTCCATCTCCTTACCAAACAATATGTTTTCTTCAATCTTTCCACTCTGTATCCAAGGTGATTGAGCAACATACGCCTTTGTGCCACACAACTTAAGAGTCCCAGATATTTTTGGTATCTCCCCCAATATACAAGAAAGTAAACTTGACTTGCCAGAGCCAACAGTGCCACAAACAGCAACCCTCATACCATGGTGCACTTTCAAATTTATATCTTTCAAAGTTACACTTGGGGTAGATAAATCCCAGGAGAAATTCCCATCAATGATCTCAATTGCTGTATCAGAACTACCTCTTGGAAGCCTCTCTATAACATCAGGCTTCAAATCATCCAGGCAGAGGAAAGATGCAATTCTATCAAGAGAAACCTTTGTCTGAACTATCATTGAAATTGTATCCGGAAGATTGTAGATTGGCTCTTGAAGAATCCTGAATGTTGCAAGTGCAGACAAGATCTTTCCTGACTCAAGAGGGATTCCCAGCAGCATACAAGAACCAAAAGTGGCCACAGACACAAAAGTAGGTGCCACCCAAAACACAAAACTCGTCATGGCAGAGGTGTAAACAAATTTTTTTAACCATTCCGTCTCAAAACTTCTGAGCTCTATAATCCTAGACAGGAACTTCATTTCCCATGCCTGAAGCTTAAGGATTCTCATATTCCTTAGAATCTCAGAGGTTGCCTTCATTCTTTTATCTTTTGATTCCATCAACTTTTCCTGAAACTTCTCTTGCAATCTTCCCAAAGGAAAATTTGCTAGCATGACAATAATAGTTGAAATAAAGGCTGCAACTGATGCTAGCCCAAGATTTTTATACAAGATCAACAATGCCAAAGCAACTTGCAGAATGACCATCCATGGATCATGCAGGTACCAACAAAAGTTACCAATTCTTTCAGCATCAACAGTCATGAAATTGATAATCTCCCCACTAGTATGGCTCTGCCTTGACTGGCATGAAAGGGTCAAGCCCTTGTTGTAGATCATTGCCACCAGTACTGCTCTAATCTTAATTCCAATTTTCTGCAGCCTAAAGAACCAGTGCCTCTGAGCTTGGCACTCTACAAGCTTTGCAACAAAGAATGTTGTGACTAGAACATACCCCTCGTTTTTAAACTCCCGTTGCCCATTAAGGTATTGAACAAATGTTTCAATGAGATATGGGCCAACATATGAAGCAACCGTGTACGCAAGCGCCAACATAGCTGTCAAGAGAATCTCTTTCCATACTGACAAGAACAATGCCTTTACCAGCTTAAATGTGGTAACTCCACTCCCAACACCACCAACTGACTCAAGCTTATTTCTAAAATGTGGAAAAGCACCAGCTACACTGTCAAGGCTATCAAGTTGAGGAACATCCTCAAGATCTAAAGTTTTCTTATTGCCTAGTGCAATTAAAGACCCCATCCAAGAGAACGAAAGAATGCTAAAAATTCCAGCATTTGAGAAAGGGGTTACAGAGTCAACCCCTCGGGATTTATTTGACTCTACACCACTAACGCTATAATCTCCATCTAAAAGGGGTTCCTCAAGGATCATGTCTTTGCCCTCATTTCTATTAAGAAACCCCACATAACAGAGGAAGAAACCAGTGATGACAGAGAAAACATCTGACACTAAATACTGACTTGGCAATGAAATGTGCTTTTTGTGAAGAACAATGTCTATAACTAGACAATAACAAGAAATTGAAAGATAAAACCCCCACCAGACTCTCAATAAAAGTGGGAACTTTTGTTCACCAGAATCAGAGAAATGGTTATGCAAGTAAACAGAAATTGCGGCCCACGCAAGTGTTTTAAGCACAAAATCTGAAAGGGTCACAAGCTTATCCCCAGACCAACCATTCCTATACCAATAGAAATAGCTCAACAAACACAGAGCAATATTAAACACAGAAACACCTAAACAACAAAACAGAGTCTGCTTATACCATACTACCCTCCTGCGCCTAAACCTCTCCTTTGCCTCCTCACTAGAACCACCCTCAATCCTCCTTACCACCCACAAGACAAACAATAAAAGTAACAAAACCAGGTACAATGAGCCAGAAAACCCACGAGCAAAAATGGGCTTAAGCAGAAAACTGAAATCAATACCTAAATGCATTCGTGAAGACGAGAAAGAGACCAAAGTAAGCATACCTCGCTTTGCTGAGCCCAAAAGTTCTATGTGTTTTGAAGTTTGCAAGAATCAGCTAGGTTTTATAGCATCCGATAAGATTCTCCTCTTGTGAACTGAGTTTGTGAGTAGATACAATGGGAAGAGACAAAACACTACGAAAAGTATTTGTTGGAAGTCCACAGAGGCACAGAGAGGGTCAGAAAGTCAATTTTCTTGGGGGAGAGATATGCGTGAGGATCAAGGCTAATAAGACGGAAATATCAAAGAAAGAAGGAAAGCTAATGTAGGACCAAAAAGTCAGTATCTTTCCATTGAAAATGCATGATCCATGAAAGCAGGAAAATCAAGGACGGTAACTTTTCCCCCTCTTCTGCGGTCTGCAGCTTTAATTCTTCTCCTCCAATAAATACTCGACTGTTGCTGTCCATAGAAATATTCTTAAACACAATAACGAAAGATAGAAACTTTATCAAAAATGTCATGACCCAAAATGGTCCCAAGCTCATACAAGTGGGAAGTGGCACGTCCTTAGTGATGATGCATGCACCATCCTTGTTCTACAGCACAAGACAAAGACAAACCTACATAGCAACAAACAAATTTTCTACGCACATGTTTGACCACGTTTTCTTTTTCTTTTTTTATTTTGGGCCTTCCGTGTTTGACCACTTTTATTTTTCTTTTTGAAACTAACCACTTTTTTTTTTCTAATTATACACAAAAAGGTAGTTTAATTTAAGATATTCTTTTTCATAATTAAATTTGGGATGTTTGATCATCTCATATTGTTTCAGTTTCGTTGAATCATTTAAGTTCTTTTTTTTTTAAGCAAACGAATTTATTGAAAGGAATATTAGGGTATTTCAACCTTTAAAAGAATACAAGATTAAGCATTTCAGAAGAAACAAAGACCCTCCAAAGCAGTTACACAAAAATTAATTAGCCCTTCAGCAAAACACAACTAGGAGAACAGACACCAATCACTGAAACGGAATGTCGACAATTTTGATTTTCCTTTGATCCAACGGATGGATTTTACTTGAATTAACTCAAAGATTGTATCTTCGTCCCAGGTTGTGTCTCTAAAAATAATGGCATTTCTTTGTAACCATATAGACCAAACAGTGGTTAAAAGTGTGACTGATGAACAATGCCAAGAGATAATATTCGCAAAAGTGAATGCAAGATCATTTAATTTCATAGTCGCTCTTTTGATTCCCTTGAATTTTTCTTCAAAAACGATACATAAAAATGTGTTTTAAATATCCATATAAATTCTAACAATCTAAATAATTTATTATTAATTTTTTTCTAATAAAAAGTAAAAAATTTTAAATTCAAATAACATACTATGTAGTAAGAGTGAGTTAAAGAATGAAAAAAAAATATTATCTTCAATTATACAATCCAAAATTTTTTAAAAAAAAAAACCCTTAAAAATATACTCCTAGGATTTTGAATATAATATGCATAAATAAATTTCTCAAGTTGGTCCAATTCTCCTTTATTTTTCTTTGC